ACTTGAAAATGACCTTCTACTCGGTCCCCCTCCGTCTGAAACGTAGATCCCAGTACTAACCTAGCCTTCGTCTCCAAATCAGACCACACTTCTCATCAGGCTTCCTCCCCGAACTGAACTTGAAAATAACCTGTTTGCTCAACCCCCCCGGTTACCCCACACACACACAGTACTAACCAGCCTCGGTCTCCAACACAATATCCACTAGTCAACAGGCTCCCTCTCCATGCTGAATCTGAAATTTACATTCTACTGTACCCCCTCAGTCTACGACACAGCACGAAATTGAAAAAAATAACCTTTTCATAAAACCCTCCGTCTACACCGCACACCCAGCACTAACCAGCCTCCGTCTCCAACACAACACCCAGTACTCAACAGGCTCCCCCCCAAAAGCTGAATGTGCACAGAAGCTTCTATTCAACCCCTCCGTCTACGAACCAACACCCGGTACTCAACAGCTCTCGCCCCCAACACACGAACTAACCCACTCCGAAACCCCTCCGCCTCCACGGCCGACGCAGGCACTTGAACCGCCTCTGTCTTCTCGCCATCTTCCAAGAGAATCGGGGGTATCACGGTGCGTGCGGAGACACACACACACATATATATATATATATATATATATAGTATGGTAGCCCCCGGGGGACCCCATCTTCGTTAAAGCCCGAGGGGCGTTGTAGATGTAGGTGTTGCGTAGGTGTTGGCGCAGATGCGAACGGGGAGGATGAGAAGAGGGAGGAATTCGGAACAGGAGGAGTACAGCGGGAGGGGAGAGAGACGGGGGAGGAGCGAGAGAGAGAGAGAGATAAAGAAATAATGAGAGTGGAGGAGGGAGGCCGGGACAAGTAGTAGTACTAGTAGTAGTCCTTGTGTTTGTAATACTATTTGTAGTAGTCGTCGTCGTCGTCGTCGTAGCAGTAGTAGTAGGAGTAGTAACCATAGTAGTAGTAGCAGTAGTAGTAGTAGTAGTAGTAGTAGTAGTAGTAGTAGTGGTAGTGGTAGTGGTAGTGGTAGTGGTAGTGGTAGTGGTAGTGGTAGTGGTAGTGGTAGTGGTAGTGGTAGTGGTAGTAGTAGTAGTAGTAGTAGTAGTAGTAGTAGTAGTAGTAGTAGTAGTAGTAGTAGTAGTAGTAGTAGTAGGTTGCACATGGTGTTCGTGTCGCTACAAACCTCACCTCCGTGTACCCTTCTTTTGTAGAAGGCCTAGTATAATTCCTACAAGGGGAATTGCGAACATCGTAGTTTCAAACCTGGCCTTCGTGTCTTTCGCGCCAATGCCGACCTTTGTGCACTATTCGCTGTAGAGGCTATAGATTGGATTCGCATTAGAAAGTGATCAAGAAAGGTAAGTTTACACTTGTCCTTCGTGTCGACGTCGGATTTGGAGCAACCGCCACTGCCAGCCGCTTCATTTCGGCACGCCCCTCTCGAAGATCGTGGGCCTGGCCCTCCGACGCGCGATTCCGGCGCACAACTCACTGGGATCGTGGCCCTGGTCCACTTTGGAGCGCTGCCGAAGGCCCACCGACGTCCAATTTCGGCACGCCGCTCACAAGGATCGCGTCCTGGCCCAACCGGGAGCGCTGCCGACGGCCCACCGATGAGCGCTGCCGAGGTCCTGCGGGCTTGAGGACGCGCGCTTCCATGCCTTTTTCGGCGACGGACTTCCAGGCAGGGATGCCGCGGACGCCGTAAGTGATTCCTTCTTGCGATCAGACCCTTCATGCATTTTGATGTTTTGTCGTCGACGGGGCCCCAGGCAGGGATGCCGCGGGCGCCGCTCGTGCTGTTGATGTGCACTCAGTCATTGGGAGGAGGAGGAGGAGGAGGAGGAGGAGGAGGAGGAGGAGGAGGGGGAGGAGGGGGCGGGTGCGGAGACGGAGGCGGAGGAGGAAGAGGCGGGGGGCGGAGGCCGAGGCGGAGGTGGAGGGGGGGAGGAGGAGGAGGAGGAGGAGGAGGAGGCGGAGGAGGAGTTTTAAACCCGCGTGCTCCCGCCCGTGAGTGGGCGCCCCTGGTCTCGGCACCCCGCGCAGGCAGAACGGCCCGAGGCGGGGTGGGCCAGCGGCCTCATCTCACGTCGTCGTACTGCCGCCACTCAATGACTCCTTGAGTCGCCCCGTGGGCGGCGGCAGTCTGAAGATATGCTGCCGCCGCCCTCTCAGAGCTTGAGGAGCAGCCTGATGGGCGGCCGCTGCCGCTCCTCCGCTCTGCGCACTTCCAGGGGCCGTCCTGGCTGCTGGCCCCTGGACTCTTGGGCCTTCTCGGCCGCCTTTCCTGGCGCAGGGCTGTGGCCTAACCCCTCGCCACGCTGGGGTGCGTTGCGGCCTAGCCCCTCGCCGCGCTGGGGTCCTCTGCGGCCTAACCCCTTCACCGCGCTGGGGCCTGCTGCAGTCTGGCCCCTCACTGCGCTGAGGTGCTCCTTGGTGGCCTAACCCCTCGCCGCGCAGGGGTCTGCTGCGGTCTAAACCCTCACCGCGCTGGGGTTCGTCGTGGCCTGACCCCTCGCCACGCTGGGGCACGGCGCGGTCTAACCCCTCACCGCGCTGGGGGAAACGGTGGCCTAGCCCCTCGCCACGCTGGGGGCTGCTGCGGTCTAACCCCTCACCGCGCTGGGGTGCTCCGTGGCCTAACCCCTCGCCACGCAGGGGACTGTCGCGGTCTAGCCCCTCGCCGCGCTGGGGTGCCACGTGGCCTAACCCCTCGCCACGCGGGGGCCTGCTGCGGTCTAACCCCTCACCGCGCTGGGGTGCTCTGTAGCCTGACCCCTCGCCACGCTGGGGATCGTTGCGGTCTAACCCCTCACCGCGCTGGGGTGCTCCGTGGCCTAACCCCTCACCACGCTGGGGCATGCTGCGGTCCAACCCCTCACCGCGCGGGGGGTCACCGAGTCTCGCACTGTCCCCATCCCCAGTGCTGCTGCCCACTGGCACGGGCAAGGTCCCTCGACTATGCCTCTCTCTGTGTTCGCAGTTCACGTGGTATCCGCGGGCCAAGCCCTCCCCCTCGCGTTCAGTCTGTCGGTTTCCCAGGGTGTGGGTCCGCTCTGTTAGTTGCGAGGTCCTGTCTACCACACGGTTGGTCAAAAGATCCGCGTCCTGCTCGCTGGGCTCGTCAGGGACCTCCACCTCGAGCCTCTGCTTGCCTTTGGCATTGCGGTCTACCGCCTCGCCGCGCAGGGGACTGCCGTGGCCTAACCCCTCGCCACGCAGGGGTTCCATGCGGTCTAACCCCTCACCGCGCTGGGGAAGGTCGCCGAAATCCTTGCCCTGGTCCCGCTGCAGGTCTGTGTCGTCGCTGTCTGCCGTCATCTCGGGCGGCGTAGTTTTGTGGCCTAGCCCCTCGCCACGCAGGGGAACGTCGTGTCTCGCACCACCACTATCCTCGGTGCTGTTGTCCACTGGCTCGGGCGAGGTCCCCCGACTGTCCCACTTGCTGTGTTCGCGGTTCACGTGGTATCCGCGGGCTGAGCCCTCCCCCTCGCGTTCAGCCTGTCGGTTTCCCAGGGCATGGGTCCGCTCTGTTAGTTGCGAGGTCCTGTCTGCCACACTGTTGGTCAAACGGTCCGCGTCATGCTCACTGGGCTCGCCAGGGACCTCCACCTCGTGCCTCTGTCTGCCTTTGGTACTGCGGTCTAACCCCTCACCGCGCTGGGGCCCTCCGTGGCCTAACCCCTCGCCACGCTGGGGTCCTCCGCGGTCTGCCAGGTAGTACCCTATGCTGTGCTGTACATCTGGGTTCTGCTGGTGGTTGTCATCGCTGTCCTGCTTGTCTACGGGCTGCTGGAGGCCATCCTCACTGCTCTCCCCTTCATGGAAGTGGTCGAGGGCTGCCATGTCCATGAAGCTTTGTCCTGCTGGTGGGGGACGGGCACCCCTCTGCATCCCGTCTGGCGCGGGGCTGCGGCCTAACCCCATCGCCACGCTGGGGCCCTCTGCGGCCTACCCCCTCGCCGCGCAGGGGTTCGTGGTGGCCTGTCCCTTCTCCACCCTGGGGCCTGCTGACGGGTTTCTGCTGCTCCTCATCCCTTCCCGCCTCCAGGGACCGCTCTGGCTGCAGTGCCCTGGGTCCCTTGGGCCTCCCGGGCTCGGGCGCTGGCGTTGCCGTGCGCAGCTCGGCGGGGCTGCTGGTGGCCCTGGCCTCTGTGCGCCTCCTCGGCTGTCTGGCTGGGGCCCTGCTTGGCTCTCGCGCTGCTGCTTGGGGTCGCGAGCTGCGGCTCCTCTTCGCTGGCTCAGTCACACCCAGGAACTGTTCAGCAAATGCTTTGCGCCGCTCTGCCTCCTTCGGGTCCTGCTGCTGGCTCTGCCTGCGCGCCTCTCCACTGTTGAGCCATGCCATACGGCAGATCTCCTCCGCCGCTTGGCGCTGGCTGCGCTGGCGGCTCAGCCCTGACTCGTGGCTGAACAGCCTCTGGTAGACGCCAGTCTGCAACTCCCTCAGCACATGAGGCACGCACGCAGCCTGCCACGATGGCCAGCCCTGTTTGCCCCCTTCTGGATCCAGCAGCCTGCCAGCGACTGCATGTGCTGCTCGAGCCTGTTCCTCTCGAGCCACGCCACCTCCTGCTCGGGGCCCTGGTCGGCTTCTCTTTTGCGTCGAAGCCTTGGGTGGATCAGGCCAGCTTCATCGGCTTCGCTCACGAACTTCATCAGGTCGGGCCCCACTGGTTTGGTCAGCCTTACTGCGACCTGCACGACCGTCTGCATCCGGCTGTTGGTGTCGCTCCTCTGATCAGGTCCTGCCATGGTCTCCATCTCCTGGTCTCTCGGCTCGCCCTCCTGCTCTGGGGCTTCACTGTCTGGTGTCGAGTCATCATCGTCCAGGTTTTCTGGTGACCACTCTCTGCTGGCCTCCGTTGTGCTCGGCAGCGGCCTGCGCTCGCTGCTGGGGACGCTGTGCGCTAGGATGTTGTTCCTTCTTTTCTGGAGCGCGTCCATGCGCACTCTTGCTACCTGCTGCCTGGTGCCGTGCGGGAGGGTGAGCATCCCGGTCATGAGCCTCCGTCACTTGCGGTGCGTGTTGCGCCAGACTTCTTCGCAGAAGTCCTTGATTTGCTGAAGCCCCTGCATGGTGACAGCCCCGGTCTGCTCTTGCGAGTCCATTCTGCCGCCCACGTTGGTGATGGCCAGGAGGTACGGTACGCAGTGCTCCATCCAGTCGCCCATGTCATCCCAGACCTCCTGGTCGACCTTGTTCATCCACAGCTCCGCGTAGCCCTCCATGTGGTCCACGAGCCTCCAGCTGGCTTGGACGACAGAGTGCGGATGGCTGGGTGGCCGCTGTGGAGCTGGCTGCGGGTCCCCTGCCTCTGAACTGTCTCCGTCCAGGTCGATCACCTCGTGGTTGCTCATGCTCAGCTTGAAGTCACCAGGCATGGTGTTCTCGTTGAAATCCTCCTCATCTGGGTCTGCTGCTGGCTTAGCTCCTCTTGGCAGCTTGCCCCTCTGCATGTCCGCCAGGACCCGCCTCCCTGCTGCTGTTGGGGGCTGACATGGCCTGGCTAGCTTCCTTGCCACTCCTGCCACGACCCTGCTCTTGTGGTCCCCAAGGTAACTGGTGCCGCCACATTTCTCGCACCAGAGCCAGTCATGTGTGAACTGCGTCTTGTGGGGGGCGTCCACCACCTGCGTGCCGATCTGCACCGCCTTGAAATCAAGCCTGACGTTGCCGTGCTGGCCCTGGTGGCCACCGTACTTCCCGAGGCATACTCCCGTCTCTGCCAGCCAGTCTTTGATGCTTTGTCCTTTGGCTGGGCCACTGCGACACGTTGCACGCCACCATCGCGGATGTAGCTTGCGCAAGTCGTGTCCCAGTTGGGCTGCCTTGTCCCTTGCCGCCTGTGGCTTTCGGCGCTTGGCCTTGGGACGCTGAGGGGCCTTGCTGGGGTCCTCCACCGTCACCGCCATGTTGATGGCCAGCAGCCGATTCTGCACCGCCATGGTGATCTGGTCCCTGGTCTGCTGCTGCGCGATGATGGCTGGGTCCAGAGCTCCATGCTCCGCTCCCCAGCCTGCGTACGTGTCTGCCATCTCGTTTCCGATGATCCACCAGGTGGGACCATTCCACCTCTCCAGCTCGGCTGGGTGCTCTGTCAGGTGGCTTGGGATATGGTGGCCCATGATGGTGTCCGTGCTGTTCTGCAGCTGCTGCTTCGTCTGGAGCCAGAGGTCGTAGTTTGTGCTCCCCTGGTCCTCAGGATCCTGGATCTGCTTGGGTGCGTCCAGGGCGCACTTGCAGTCGCTGACTATGTTGAGCCCCCTGGCCGTCGCCGCCGCGGTGTACCCGATGGCTTTGCTCATGGCGGTGAGCTCTGCCCGTGGCACCGTGCGTGGTGCCCTGATCGTGCCGTACCAGGCGGCCACTTTTTGCGGACGTCCTTGCTCGTCGAAACTGAAGGCCACCACTGCCCAGCCGCAGCGTCTGAGGCGGGGATCATTGGCCGTCTCCCCTGCACCGCCAGAGCCGTCCGTGAAGACGTAGTCTGCTCGAACCTTGTACCCTGCCTGGGCTGCCGCCTGCGCCTTCTCGCTGGTGCAGAAGATCTGCGCCGCCTTCGCCGCGTCCTCGTCTGGGTCGACCTTGGCTGCCCAGGCCGCTGGCGGGATGCCGCGGAGCCAGAAGGGCATGTCTTGCCGCTGGTCCAGCGCGTATTTCGCCTTCTTCGCCAGGTCGGTCTCATTGCTGTGCGCTATCTCTGCGTTGGCTGGGGATGCGTAGTAGCGGTGTTCCTCTGTCTCTATTGCCTCGCCGCATCTTGCGCAGGTGTCGTCGCCTTCTATGTTGAGGTTGGCCGCCCTGCGACGCTCCCTGGTCCAGATTCCCGCCACCGCAATAGTCTCCAGCATGGCCGCCTCTGCATGCTGTCCTTTGCGCCTCCTCCTCCTCAGGTGGCGCTGCAGCTGGAAGAGGTCGCCTCCAGCCTGAAGTCCTTCTCCACTGCGATGGTATGCTGCCTGCTGCCAGAGCTGCTGCTGCGCACCCTGCTGGACCTCATGCAGGAGCGCGCCGACGTGTGGAATGTCATCTGGCTTGTAGGCCCACTCTTCACCTGCTGGGCTGATCCAGCTGTCCAGGCGCCGCGGTGTCCAGCCCAGCCCAAGCAGCTGCGCGATGACCCCTGCCATAGGCCCCTTGACCTGCTGCCGCCTGCGGTTGGGTTCCAGGGCGCTCAGCTTGGCGTAGAGCAGGAGCCAGCCTCTCTGGTACCTCTTGAGCTCCGTCGGGTGGTCGACTATGGTGAGCCAGAACTGCTTGATCTGGTCGCCGATGGCTCGTGTTACTGCCTCTTGCGTTCCCCTCTGAATCAGGAGGATGGTGGACGTGCAGCGCCCTGCCTTGTGCCCGCCTGTGAGGAGCGCTGCCTCCGTGGCCCTGACCGCCCTCGCCTCCGTGGGCGTGATGCCGTGCGCTGGTAGGTCCCAGGCCTGCTGGCAATAGGCCCCTGCTGAGTAGACCTTTGCCGCGCCTCTGGCGTCCGTCTTCGCTAGGTCCTTGAGCTTGGCCACCCTCGGCTTGGCCTTGGCCTGGCGCGCTGCATGGGTGGGTCGCCGTAGCTGCTTGCCTAGGCTGGTGTCCACGCCGAAGTCGCGCACTACCCCTGGTTGCTTGTTGGGGGTGCCCCGGCTGTCCAGGATGCTGGCAACTTCTGCGTGGAGGTCCTCCACCACTGCCGTCTTGACGGGGATGGGCATGGAGAGCTGCTTGAAACCATCGTGCACCAGCGCTGCCACGTACCTGATGTGGTCTATGACCTGCCTCCGCGCACCCTCTACCTGCAGGGCGAAGTCGCCCAGGTACTGCTGCATGACGACGAAGATGTGGTGCCTGCGCGCTGCGTCCAGGATGCCATACAAGAGCGGTCTGGTGAGGTCGACCGCTTGGCCACAGCCAGCTACCATGCTGTTGGCAGGCTCGAAGGTGTCCGAGAAGAGGCTGTGGGCCATGATGGCCCTGGGCGCAAGGTACATCTGCACGGCCATTGCCAGCGGCAGCAACGGGTATTGGAGGTCGCTGGCTTTCTCAATCAGCTGGTCGAGGCATATGTTGTCGTAGAAGTTTGCCGCGTCGTAGAAGACACCTGCTGCATGAAAGCCCATCTCCGTGGCGGCTTCAGCCCTCATCAGTCTGTGCATTGCCACTCGCAGCGCTGAGGATCCTGCTACTGCCGTATCCCAGAAGCCCGCCGCTGCCTTGCTCCAGGTGGCTACTATGGGCCCCCTGGCTGCGCTCCATATGCGGTACGGCATGGGCATGAGGCCGATAGGGGGCTCACCGCCGATCCCTGGCTTCTTGCCCAACAGCAGCTCCCGCACCAAGTAGAATTGCCACGGCCACGCTGCCCGTTGCTCACAGCTGATCAGGCACTGCACGAAGTCTTCTAGCCCCTGGGCGCCCATGGCCTTGAGCCCTGGAGCCCTCCACCAGTCCGCTCCTTGGCCAGCATTGCGCTTCAGGTGCTGGATGATGGAGCCGATGATGTCCCTGCTGATGGGCTCGAAGGCATTCTCTTGGGCCAGGGCCGCCTGCCTCAGCTTGGTCAACGCCTCTTGGCTCCTCTCAGCCTTCTGCGTATCTCGTGTCCACCTGCGTTGCCACGCCTCTTTGCGCAAGTCCACCAGCTGCTGCGGGTGGTTGATGACCTGGCCCTTATGCTCTAGGATGTCCTCCAGGTGGCTGCGCTCCGCTGCCTTGGTGTAGGCGCGGGCCATCTTAGCACTGCCTGCTGTGGCGTCGTGCACCCAGGGGACGTACGCCTTCTTCACCGCCTTTGTGAGCTGCTTGGCCATGCTCTTTACTTCCTCTGCTACCCTGCTGATCGTCCCTGGGCCCACGAGGGCGCCCTCTGCTATCGCGTGCAGGTCTTTGAGGAGGGCCTGCTGCTGGTCCTTGGCTGCACCTTCTTCGTTCAGCCTGCCTGGGTCAGGCTGGTTGAGCTGCTGCGCTAGTTGCCATCTGGTGTTGAACTGCTGCTGCGTCTGGTTGCCGCTGTGGGTGCGAGCCTGCAGCTCTCGGCGGCTACTCGGGCCACTGCCTGCTCCTGGAGCATCATGCAGTTGTCTTCGAGCTGCTCCTTCTGGTACTCGTTCGCCTATGACTCTCGCATAAACCTCCGCAGGTTGGCAAGCTCCCTCAAATGCATCATCTCCAATTCGTGCCTACTCGTCGGCTCCTCTCGCGTGAGACCTTGGAGAAAGCCTCGGCGTCGTGGTTCTGCGTGTCTCCATGCTCGATCGCAGAGGTCCCTGATGATGTGGCTGAGGCCTGCCTGGTGGTACCTGCGCCTGAGCAATCTTACCATTCCATCGTTGCCTCCGCCACCCAGGATGGTCTCCAGGAACGGCACACAGACCTGCATCCAGCTGCTGTTGTCCGCGGGGGGCTGCACCAAGTTATCCATCCAGGTGGCCGCCCAGTACTCTAAATCGTCTCTCATAGCCACGTAGTCTTCCCACTCCCGCGGGTGCTGGCCTTCATTCCAGCGATCTGGTGGGGGCAGGCCCATGCCGCGTGGCTCCTCTGCCTCTGGTCCTGGCGGCTCTTGGTTCTGACTCCCCAGGTGGTCGGTCCCCTCTGCCTCCTGAGTGCCAGCTGGCTGAGGAGGTGAGCAGTGCGTGTCCCCTGGGGCAGTATTAACTGCTCCAGCTGGGTGCCGACAAGCGGACTGGCCGTAGTCGATGCTGTCCTGCTGCCCCTCTATTCGTTGGTGGTGCCCGCCTCGGTCCTCCTGATCTGCGGTCTCCTGGCGATACAGTGTGCAGTCCTCCTCCTCCTCGAAGGGGCCGCTGTCTTGGACGTCCATGGTGTTGCGTCTTGCTGGTGGGGGAGTGGCAGATCCTGCTGCTCGTCGGCGATCGGTCTGGCCGAACTCGCGGCTGTCCTGCTGCCCCTCGGTGTGCTGGTTGTTCCCATCGCTGTGCTCCTGGTCTGCGATCTCCTGGCGGTACTCCAAGTAGTCCTCCTCGTCCTCGAAGGGGTCGTGATCTTGGATGTCCATGGTGTTGCGTCCTGCTGGTGGGGGAAGGGCACCCCTCTGCATCCCTTCTGTGCAGCTGTCTGCGCTGCTGTGGGTTTGTCCCACGTCGAGGTCTGGGACACATCCCGTGGCGTTGTACTTGGGGCACGTGAGCCCCTGACCCATCTCTGAGCAGGGGCCAGCTGCCTTCCCTTGGTCCGCTGCACCCACCTCAGCCTGAGGTGGGGAGACCTTCTCAGGTGCTGGCTGATTCGCGATGTCCTTGGGGCCGCTGTCGCCGCCTCCTGCTGCGCCTTCACTGCCAGCACGCCGCTGCTGCAGCTCGGGGGGGGGAGGGGCTCACCCCGCTCTGTGGGACCGCGATCCTCCGAGCTTCCTCCCGAGCTCTTTGATGGCCTCATGGCTGGTGCGGGAACCCCGTCCTCGAGGCCTTCCTGGCTGTCTGCCATGGCGGGGCCAGGCTCAGGCGCCGACGGGCCCTGTTCACCTCCTGAGTACTCGTCGGGAATTGCCAGGGTCTTGCCCAGTCGGCTTGCTGCTGCCTCCTGCGCTCGGGCATCATGGTGCGAGAGCTGCCGCACCAGGTTGGAGATCTCCGCCCACCACGCATGGACCTTCCCTTCGACCCTTGACCATGGCGTAGAGGTGACGGTGTCCTTGATGCTCACGCTCTTGTAGCTCGGGGGCCTGCTGTGCCCGAGATGTCGTCCTCGCTCTTCCTCTGGGATGCCGATGCTCTCGCACAGGCTGAGCTCAAGGGCGCTTGCGAAGCGGTCATACTGTTGTCCAAGGTCCAGCATGCCCCGCTCCATCATCTTGCCGACGACTGTGCACTGCAAATGCTGGGGCAGCTCGTCGTTGGCGCGCACGCTGGCTCGCTCGGAGGTGGCCTGCCACAGCTCGTCGGAGATGACGTGCTGGACCTGCTTGTCGTAGTGCAGCTGCGGCACTGGCTCCATGTCGTTCTCGTTCAGGTCGCGTCCACCCTCTGCCAACGCTTGCTGTCGCCGGCGCATGGCATCCTGGCCCCCTCGCGCCGCTCGTCTGCAGGCGGCTCTGGACTTCGGCATTTTCTCGACTGCGACTGGCGGCTTAATGGCTGCTGGCCTGCGAAGTACCCTGCCCTTGAGCATGAGGGGCCGCCCCTTCAGCTTCAAGCGGATGCCAATGTGCGGCTTCCACGGCACGGTCCTGAGCAGCTCCAGCTGGTCGAAATACGGCGCCAGGCCCTGCGAGATCAGCGCAAAGCCGATGCACCTGGCCTCCCCTGCTGCTGGGAAACATGTGGGGGCGCCATCCTCCGCCGCAGCTGCCTGAACATTCAGCACCCTGGGCCAGATGCTGTTGTTGAGCTCCGACGGCGTCATCTTGAAGTCCCCAAGCGCTGCCCAGGGCCCTCCCCAGACGGCCATCTTCTCCCGCAGGTCGCAGAGGATGTCGACATTCCTCTCTCCAAAGCCCGCCCCACACTCAAGGTCGACAAAAGCCACTGCGAAACGGACCTTGTGCAGGTTGGAGATCACCACCGTGACGTCGCTGCCGTCTTCGTGCAGGTAGTGCTCGTCGAATCCCGCAATCCTGTCCTGGATGTCCAAAGATCCTCGCGCGATGGCACACGTGCCTCCTCGAGCGCCTTCTCCTTCTACTGGCCGTGCCTTGGTCCAGTAGCTGTGCATGCCATTCCTCCTGAGCGCTGTTCTTGCCTTGCTTATCTGTGCAGGCTGGCGGAGGTGGTGCTCCGCAATGCCAATGATATCCCTGTCCTTGGTGTTGTTGATCTCCATGAGGTAGCCCTGTGCCTGGGGGCCCCAGGTCGCGAGGTTGAAGAAGTCAATGTGGCACGGGCGGCGAGCCTTCTTCACGCTCGCCTTGGGGCGGCTACCCCGCTGAGTGGTCGCCCTGCCCTTCTGCGTCGACGACTGTCTCGGCGCGCCTTGCCTGCGAGACCTTCTCTCGCGCCTCCTGGATGTGGGCCTCCACTCTGGCTCGGCGTTCTTCTGCTTTGTCATGTTCTGCTGCACCTGCTCCAGGTTGGGCAGCTGCTGCGGCGCCGGTGGGCGCAGCCGCGCCAGCTGTCCCTGCTGCCTCAGTGCATGCGGTGGCACCTCGCTGAGGGGCTGGGCTGGCGGCGCAGAGTCGCTTGCCTGGTGGGGCTTCTGCTGCTGCTGGGTCTTGCTCTTCGCTCTTTGACAGGCGCTTGGCGCGGGCCTGCTCGAGCTGGCGCAGCTGCTCCTGGTGCCTGGCCGTCTCCTCCTCCAGCAGTCGCAGGTGCTTCGCCGTCTCCTCCTCGTGCTCCTTGACCGTCTGGGCCATCCGCTCGCCCTTGGCCTTCGCTGCCCGCCAGGCCTCCTTGTCTGGCTCGGACCACTTGTGGAAGTCGTCGGGCTCGTGCTCGAACTGCTCCAGGAGGGCTGCCAGGGTTGGCTTCTCGGCTGCAGGCTCAGTTGGTGCCTCTTGCTTGCCGACTGTGGCCTTGGGCTTGTCGAACTCATATTCGGCTGCAATGATGGCTTCCATGGCTTCACGAAGCTTGCGTTCACTCTCGGCCAAGTACTGCTGGGCACTCTCAACTTGCTCTCCTGCCGATCGCACTTTCTTCTGGAGTTTGTCCAAGCGTCGAGCAGCTGCCTCCACTGCCTTGAATCCAGCAACTGGTTGGTCTGCTGGTGGCTTGGCTGCGGCGAGCTCTGGCCAGAGGGCCTCGTAGTGCTGCCTGAGCGGGTCGTCCTTGTTGAGCTTGCTGTAGGCTGCTGCGGCGGCAGCATTGAGGTCGGCTGACTTGTCATGAGGTGGTGGCTGGCGTTGGCCTCCTTGTCCTTTCCCGCCTGCACCACCACCTGGCTGCCAACCATCTGCCCAGCTGATCCTGGGCGAGGTTCCTCCTTGGGGCTGTGCTGCCAGCCACCCGCCATCGTCTTCACGGAAGACATGACCGTGGGGGACGAGGCTGGCGATGTTCTTGCCGCAGATGCAGAGGTCGCCCCTGCTGGTGATATTCTTGCAGTAGCGCCATCTGCTGCACCCGTCGCACACCACGTAGCTG